CGAGTCAGCATGTTATGATGTCACAAGCCCATTGCCCACTCTCAACTGGTTGTTTTGAACACCGGACTGAGGCCGGCTGTCAAATTGGTTTGCCCCACCAAGAGCTCATTGCTACAATAAAGCTAGTAACAAGAAGCTACTAGGGCTCCTGGCCTTACTACTAGGAGCAAGGACACTGCTAGGTAGATGCTAGTGTAGATGCTTGCATTCTCCTTGCTGTGTGATCTCATTGCTCCTTCGATTCGGCGGCATGCGCTATGCGCTCGTGTGGGAGCAAACTGATCGCCCTTGGGGCCGAGCTGTCCACGGCCTCACTTCGGCTGCAGACTCATGCAATAGCTTCTTGCTCCTAGTAGCGATGCCAGGAGCCCCTAGTAGCGTCCTGGCTCCTAGTAGTAAGGCCAGGAGCCCCTAGTAGCTTCCTGGTAGCAAATGGTGTTTTTGCCTCCCATCTAATAGCTTCTTGTTACTAGAAGCAAGATTGCTCCTAGTAGCGATGCCAGGAGCTCAGGAGCCCCTAGTAACTTCATGTTTACTATATATATATATATATATAAATAGTTTCTTTCCAAACAAATCTTCACAACATAACACAACTACGCACTTAGGCTGCAGAAGAGCTACAGGACTGCGCCGCAACGGTCCTGGCAGATGCAATCTTATTTGGCCACATGATGTTCAGCTCCAAGGTTCACGAAAATCACAACCAGCACGAGCTGGTTGTGAGACATGGTGCCTGTATTGTTGCCAGCTTGGCGGCTTGACATACCTTGACTGTCCTGGCAGTTTGGCTGCAAGTTCCCGAGCCAGTTGTGCTGCATGAGCTTCAGCTGCGAAGAGTTTCGAGCTCCTTAGCCGAATCTTGAAAAATCTGCAGCATATACTGCAGCCTGGCACCCAAAAATGCAAACTGTTGAGCGTATTCTGCGCGTTTCACATGTGGGCGAGTCTCTGCTCGGCATGAGTTGCCAAAGTGGTGTCGCTCACTAATCTATGGAGCCGCTCGTGACGATGAAGAGACTCTGCCACTACGTTCCTTCCCCGTTGCTCCTGAGGAAAGTGTGCCGGCAAAGTGCATGTGAGCATCAAACGGAGAACATGCGCATGGATTGCCAATTCAGTTTTCCACCTTCTAGCCATGAACGCCTGCGACCCTTTTCAAGTCAAGTTTCTGGTGCCATTTTCGCCGCGCATTTACGCGTTTGGCGCATGCTGTTTTACGTTCACTTTCAGCCAGGCACCGCCCAATCAAAGGCACTTCGCCCATCGCTATCCAAAGCTGATGCCTCAGCCTCAAAATGATCTCTGACCCGCTGTAGGGCCATGAGGAGAAAAAAAGAAGGTGGGCACGGACCTCCTTTTTACAAATTTTGACAATCTGAAGAGAGTTGAGCCCGCCACTTTTGCAGCAAGTAAGGCTTCGACAACGCCTGGCAACCCACCAGGCGCATGCAGGAATGATAAACCTGTGAGAAAAAAAGCCACCTAAGTGGCCAAGCCCAGCTGCAACGTGGAGAGCTGTCCAGCCGCCTCACGTAGATGGCCCATCTTGTGGGAAGAACTAAGTCACTCAGTAACCCAATAACTTGATACAAACCATGCTACAACGGGGCCAACCAAGTACCAAAATGTTGCACATTCACGCAGCAGCATGCAGCAACCAGCTGCGTACAACAAGAGTGGTTCACTGAGATGCCTCCAATAAGGTTGGAACATGTTTGGAAATGGCGCAACGAACCAAAACATTGTATTATCTTGCTTGACCTGTGGCATCCCGCGGTACAAGGATGATACACAAACAACATTGACGCAGTGCGCCGCAGCATCAATCCCAACGTGGGCCCCCATACATTCCTATGAATATCAAAGCTTGACCGGTGAAGAGTGGCGCAACCACGACATTCCCGAGAAAAAAAATACCAAACAATCCGATTGCAACGCATGAAGCCAGGAACCCAAACCATACAGAAACCCCTCAGGGACGCCCACGCGGCTGCTCACATTGCTGGCTACCTCTTGGCTGTTTCTGGGTCCGATACTTGCATTGTTGGATAGCATTGGTGCAGGGAACGGGCCGCACTGAAGGCAATGCTGAGGTCAAACAGCTCATTGTGCCCGCTTTCACTGTGGTTGTGGGTGTGGCTGCAGCAAGTTTCTTTAGTTGCGACTCCTGTCTGTGGAGGTTGGGGCGCCAGCGTGGGATCGGGCGATATAGAACCTGCGACAAAAACAAAGCCAAACCAAAGGTCATTTTTTCGCAAATAGGTAATCAAAAAAATTGCAACGCAACATGTTTCTGCACGCATGCATGCATGTGGCAGCCCCATTGAAAGTGAAGTTCGGCGGTGAAGCAACGTCAACAGGCTCAAGCCACCAACATATGGAGGTTTGGAGGGCGCTGAGGCAGGATTTGCAAATCCTGGGGCGGGGCGGGGGAAATAAGCATCGTGACCCCTGCATAAGGATGACGTGTGCACGCGAAACCGTGGACAGTGGTGCAGCGTCGCTTTCTTTGCCAGTCACCCATAGTCGGCACCTTTTGCACGAGGCGCCGTCCGTGCACAGATCATTGCTGAACCACCTTTTTTTTTTGCAATTGGCACCTGTCCCGCGTTTGCACACAAGGCCGTCGCCGTCCGCTTTGCGGCTATTTCTTGAAATTACACCAGCATAGACCCAGATAGCTAAGCAGACTCCCACGACCTGTTGACACGCGACTGGCGAGAACAAGAATGTACGCA